TTTTTTATAAATGATTTATTAATATAATATTTTGGTGGATTTTGTTAAAATAATGTATTATTATATATATAACTTATCTGGTGGTGCTGTTGGTGGTTCACGGTGGATATTACTGTGGGACAGATTTAGTGGTGGGTGGTTCACAATGAAGATTAGTGTGGGATACATCTGGTGGTGGGTGGTTCACGGTGAAGATTGTTTGGGTGGTGTAGGTGGAGAAGAAGTTGGATGTGCTTTGTTTGGGATGTAGGTAGAGAAGAAGTTGGATGCATTATGTTTGGTATTTGCAGGTGGAGAAGAAGTTGGATGGAATAAGAACAAGTTTGTAAATGTGGTGAAGCACTGATGCAGTGAAAAAGATGCAGAAAATGAAATAAAAATGAGAAAGACAAAAAAAAGCTATAGAAAAGGTCTAACGGTCAAAAATATGTTAAGATCCTTTTTTCAAAGTTAAATCGTGTGAATAATAAGCCAAATACTATTCAAATAATCGGTTTGGGAATATGAAAATAAATAATACACCAAACATACCTTAGATATTATTTGAGAAATTAAGAAGTAGTAGAAAATTGCACATATTTCAACTCAGGTGATTATTCTTGCTTCTAGAAGACACTAAAAAAACATACAGTATTTCAACGATACAATTAATGACATTAAAATTCTAGGCAGAGTAACTTCCTGGTAAGAAATAACGCAGTTTGGCCGGCTGCCTGACTCAATGAAAGAAAGAGAATAAAGTCAACGATACAATTATCTGGTGAAGGCGTACATTGCACTTATTCTTATTGAGAGTCTGGAATAACAACGATACACAACAAGAAGTCAGAGGTCAGTCTAGGAACTTTTTTTTTTGACATAATAAGGGATTACGTATTTTAATAAAATTATCAATCTGATCAAAATTTTGATGATTATTTTATTATTAATTAAAGAAAGATTCAAACTTATAACCCTTTTAATAATATGTTTAAAGTTTCAATCGAAGCTATCCAAATATTATTTAAAGTAACATTGCTTTCGAAGTGAGTATTGACATGAAAGGCGGTGAGAGAAGGATGTGAATTATATGAAACTGATTAAGAAATTGGTTACATTTTCCTCTTTCATTTGAGGTCAATTGAGTTGATGAAACAGACCTTTCTTTCTACTAAAATTATAAGATCATATTTCAACCATAGTGTAATGGTAACTCAATTTGACTCAAATTATGAAAAAGAAAATTGTACCAAAATATTACAATAACATCTCTCTACAGTGATATTCGTTATATGAGTCATACCAAATTTTAGTCCCAACTTAGAGATAGTTATAAATAAGAATAAGCTTTACAATGTAATAAGTTATAATTTTTTTAATTATTATCTTAAGAAAGTTGTCTCCACATAGTAATAATCAGGGACAGTCAGGCCTACCCTCAAATTAAGGCCTACCCTCAAATTAAAAAAAAAATCTAATTATTCAATCTTTTGTGACCAAGCTTTCAAGACATTGCCTCAATCTATAAATTTTGGGTTCCATTATTTAAGCCCATATGAAGAATGATGAATTTTTTATATATATATATTTTAGTTTTATATATTGTTTCGATGCTTTTTTTTTTTTTTTTTTAATTCTAGAGCTAGTTGTTAGATTCGATATATTCATTCTATCGATAGATTTATGACTTAGATTGTGAAAAATATTAACGAACAAAACCAAAATAAATTATAATAATTATTAATAAAATCCTATGGAAGGTACACCAATAAAACAAAGAAATGAAATATCCATTCATTTTTTTTTTCCTACCAAACATGTTATATATATAATTACATATACCATAGAAATTTGTATGCAATGTTTTCACAATTACTAGTGTTTTTTATATTAAATCAATTTTGTTTAATATATACTATATATATATAAGACCCTTATCATATTGTTTTTTTTTTTTCTTTATGCATGTATCATTTAAAAGCTTAGCAATGAGATTAATTTCTAAATCCCTTGAAAAAGAACTTGGTCTTAAATAATTTATTAATAACTAATTTGTTAGAAGATGTGTGGATTTTTAATCTAGATGGATGAGTTTTGATTTTAACGGTTGGATTTGTAAACCTATATGTATTTTACTTGTATTAGAGTTGTGATCGAGCTCTAAATTTGTGTGGAATATTTTTTGTAGATTGTGATTGCTGTTTTTTTTTGCTCTTTTGAATTTTATTTTTTTATACTTCCTTGTGAATTGAATGCTATTTTCAATACATTTACTCAAAGTTTTGCTTCTCATATATTTATTCAAGTAAGAAAGTGTTGTGCTATTGCATTATTTCTTTTCAACTTATTCATATTGTATTATTTCTTTTCAGCTTCTTCATATTGTATTATTTCCATTGCTCAAGGTGTGATGATTTTTTAAAATTTTCACTAGTTGATTGACAAACAATGGTGGAGCCGCAGAGGCCCCTCTGGTAAAAATCCTGGGTCTGCTACTGATAATAATTATATGCATATTGCCAAAAGAAAAAAAATGTTACGTAACATTAAAGGTTTAAGATAAAATAAAATATTTATCTTACGTAACATTAAAGGTTTAAGATAAAATAAAATATTTATCTAAAATATTAATTATAAAATAAGAAATCAAATAATATTAAAAGTAAATAATAAATCCTAATATAGTATAACCTCTATAAATTAATAATCTCTATTATATAATAATTTTTTATTGTCCCTACTTAGGCTAGTAGGTTAAATTAATAAAATAATATTTTTCTGGGAAACCTTACATAACTTGTTGGTCCCATTCATATGCTAATTAACTATGGTATTTTATTAAAATATGACTCTATCATTAGTGCAATTTTTTATTTTATTGAATACATTTAATTAAATTAATGCAATTATATACAATGAATATTATTTAATTAACTACATAAGTACAATGAATTTATTATATACAATGAATATTATTTAATTAAGTACATAAACACAATGAATTTAAATAATGCATTACTGTATATTTAGTGGATTAATTCAAATTCAATTGATTAGATTTGAATGAATTTAAATTAATGTTTTAATGTATATTTAGTGTATTAATTCATATTCAATTGATTAGATTGATAAAATACAATGAAATTTTAGTTGATTAAATATATGTTCGTCGTATAAATTAATAAATTATTAACTTATCGATTAATTAATATAATTTATATGGTCCTAAGGTTATAAATTTATAGAGGTTATACTATATTATTAAAATAATAAATTAAAATCGTAATATATACTATTTAAACGTAAATGATAAAATAAAAAATTAAAACAATAATTTTTGTAACTAAACCCGACTCATAATCTATAATAATAAATTTATCTTATTTTAACAACACAATTACCGACAAAATTCTGGGCAGATTACAACTGCCCCGTAATAGACAACCCGAGTTTTAGTAGCTTTAGGTCTGAAGTATGATATCATGTGCTTGAATATGTTAAAACAATGAAACTAAACTCACTTTGATTAGAAAAAAGAAGGGTAAGTACAATTGCACAAATAAACAAAAGCGATAACAACGATGTATAACAGCAAGTCAACTGCCAATTCAGGAACATTATTATCTTGATAATATGTAATATTAGACGTTCAAAGGAACGAAGCTTTCCACATGAGTGCTGACATGAAAATACGGTGAGGATATTTCTTTCATATCCTGTTCTCTGAAAGTTCGAGTTTCCAGATTGTACCAATTCATCAAAGAATCTGATCCTTTGAGGAATCCATGAAGCAAAATTTCTGATCTTTCGTGATTAAGCGCCACAGGGCGAGTGGCATCAAGAGGTTCGGATGGATGAACAATACTTTCCTGAATCCATCTCTGTTTCTTTTCGTGACCACAAGATTTACCAGAAACCTCTTTAAGCAACCAAAGATCCATTCTCCTCCTGCCTTCCAATTCAAAATCGATGTCCATCAAGCATAAATCTCCTCCCAATTCCCCTAGACATAACATATGCCAATCTTTTCTTGAAACACTTTCCGGGGGATGAATTACTTCAAAGGTTTCATTTCCGATGTCGAATGATGCTATCAAAAATCCTGAAGAATCATTATTAGCTATAATCCAGTAAAAGAAACCACTGGCAAATACTGGTGGCTGCCTATTCAGAAAGCGAAAACGTTCATGATACTTCACAGTCCTCCAGGACCTGGTTCCCATTGTAAATATCTCAATGTTGGGATCATCAGCTGAACTAGATGGCTCTAAGAACATGATGACTTTAGATGTACAAGCTTGCCGATCAAACCCGAATCCACAGCTCAACAAGCGAGACCCTTTTGCACCATTACCTGGAAGTTTCACCATATTTTTGGTGGCGGGATTGCAAACATGAATTCCACCACGGACGCCGTAAAAGCATACCAAACCATTGCAGGAAGGTAAGAAACAGTACGAGTCCAAGCATACCTGAACTGAATAGTCTAAAACTGCAAGTCCATAATCGTTGATGGTGAACAAATTTATGGTGGTGCTAAGATTATCATGTGAAATGAATGACAATAATAGACCACAATGATTCTCTGTCTTGGCTCGTTTTAAATGGGCGTAAACGAAATCTGGATCTGATATTAAAGAGGACCAGCTTCTGTCTATGCACTTAAATCTTGCTAAAGATTTAACCGGAAGTCTGATGAGAAATTCGAATATCAGAGAGTCTGGAATGAAAGCCATTAATGTTTAGTGTTTGTAAGATGTGGTTATGGCTAACGAAAATGTGTGACCTATTGCATGCTGCTGGTATAAATTTGAATTTATCAAACGTTGAAAAGTCGTATACTGAAACCTTCCCCCACCAACCATGCTTATGATAGTCTCATCCTTACGCTTCATAACTCCGCCCACCAGTTGCGACCCTGAGAATAACACGGGCGTTGAAATAGTTGCCCAACAAACTGACAGAAGTTGATAGGGACTGGGGCGAGGTTTTGTTGACTAATTTCTATTGCTAATTGAAAATTGAAAATACGCCATGAACGTTAAAACTTGTAAGAGAGAATCTTTTATTAGGAATATTCCTGATAAGAGAGATCATTAAGGAAGCTCTAAATTAATAGAGCTTATCTATATTTATCCATTAATAATTATTTAGTCAACTTCTGTAATGTTTAACTTATATTTGTTGGAAAGAGTCATGTCAAAACTCAAAATCAAGTTGTTGTTTGTACTTGTATTGTAATTACATGGTGATAGCCTGATAAAGAACAAACTGCATAGTAGTAGATTGCCCATTAAACTTGAAAAAAAAAAAGTGGAAGTCAATTATCAGTTTTTACAAGTGGTGAAAAGTTATATAGCATCGCAGCATGAACTAAAATTGATAACTGGAAAGCAGAGGAAAATGCTTGCTGATCCACGCAGACCTTGCACAATTAATCGACATTGGTTCAATGGGTCTCGTCAAACTCACACGGAATTGTTCGTCGTGCATCAACAGCTCCCGTGGCTGAGCGGGTAAAGATGCTCCCTCTTGAAACTCTTGGTCTTGGACCTGGATCCACAGTATGTTCAAAATCCCACCGACAATTAACTTTTAGAATTATGTTTCTACTTTCTAATGATCGGAAGGAACCAAAATTTCTTGAATTACACCCAACTTAAGTGATACATCAATTCATGGAAGCCACGTTGACAGGTTTGATTTGAGCCTTACCAATTCGAGGGCTAAATTTTTTCATTGACCTTTGACCCTAATTTTATACATTTCCCTTGTGGGTTCATTTGGGGATCATAATTGGGCCTAGTAATTTCCCAAGCCCAAAATATTTGCTATCTCATCCCAAACTCATTAAAGATTTGACTAGTCCCCGAGCCCAAAAGCGGCCTGTACACCAATCTGGATTTTACATGTGAAACATAACTTCTAGTAGCTGTCAGGTCTATCCAAGTTTAAGCAATGAAGAAGGCTCATATTAAGTGAAACGTTGAATTGTGACGCAAAACCTAGCTTGCTTTAAACAAATTCACAAAGCTTTACTTCCAATAGTGCTATAAATGCATGCGTGAGCGGTCCGCCACGTACCCACAAGGGCCCATGCTCTCAGTTATCTCTCTTGCATGCTTTCAAGGCTAAGAAAACGGTCACCCTTCCATTTGCCATTTCAGTCATCTGCTGATACAGTGATGGGGGTCCTTGATTTGAGCAGTCAGATTCAGGAACAGATCCTAATGCACAATATCTACAAACATGTCAACATGACATGGGCTTGCATTAAACATTTGATGCTTCATGTCCAAGTACGATGTTCAAATTTAAACTAAATGAAATGGAAGGAAGAGATTTTTAGTTCCCATCAAATCGATCATTGTTCTTTAAATTAATTTTATGAGGCTAAAAATCACTTTCTTTAAATTAATTGCTTTGCGCGTTGGAACTTGGAAGGACCAAACATACCATGAGGCTTTCGACACTCTGGGGGCACAATTTACGCAATGCGCTCGCGTCGGTGCTGCTGTTATTCTTAGAATTAGAAGAAACCAAAGATTTTATTATATCATCTCCTATTTATAGCAGCAAAGTAACTGAAATGAAGGATTGAGACGTACGTGGCAGCAGCATATTAAGATTCATAGGATTTTTAACATTGTTTATGGCAAAAATGTAGCAAGTGGAGCCGAGTCTCACGTGGGTTGATGGGCAGGTTAACCACTTGGCTCCTGCCTGAAGAATTGTATAAATGATTTTATATTCAATATTAATATATCCTATACAAGAAAATACAGTCGTCCTAATAATGAAATTAATCAAAACTATAAGGAAGTACAATCATCCTAATAATGAAGTTAATAAAAAATATAAGGAAAGATAATATTATAATAATCATAATAATAAGGAAATAAAATCAAAATTGATTTTATTCCTTAATACTCCCTCGAAGCGGTAGATCTCGGAGCTGCAATTGAAGACAAAGCGACTGAAATCACTCACGAGATAGGCTTTTGGTGAATATATCCGCGAGCTCAAAAGTAGTGGGGACATGTCGAAGACAAAGGGCCCCACGGACAACTAACTCACGAATGAAGTGTAGGTCGATATCGATATGTTGAGTGCCAGCATGAAAGACATAATTAGTTGCCATATGTAGAGTGGATTGATTGTCACAGAGAAGTAATGGGGAAGAATACAAGGGAATGCCAAGCTCACGCAGTAAATAACAAAACCACCGAACATCAGCAGTAACATGGGCAAGAGCACGATACTCAGATTCAGCACTGGAGCGAGACACAATAGATTGCTTCTTAGCAGTCCAAGATATCATATTGCAACTAAGAAAAACACAACCACCAGAGATAGAACGACGAGTAGCTACATCAGTAGCCCAATTAACATCAGAATAGGCAGGAAGATGAAGGCTAGGGTCAGTAGCCCAATCAACATCAGAATAGGCAAGAAGATGAAGGCTAGGATTGTGATGAAAAGTGAGACCACGAAATAGTGTGCCCTTAAGATACTGGAAAATTCACTTAACAGAACACATATCACGCTGAGTGGGAGCAGACTGTCTTTGAGCAACCTGATTTATAGCAAAGGCAATGTCCGACCTGGTGAGTGTGAGATATTGAAGACCACCAACCATACTGCGATAAAGGGTCATATCAGGAAAAGGATCATCATCTGAGGATTGTGATGCTTTGGAGGAGCTAAAGGGTGTAGCACATGGAGCACAAGAATCAAGTTGGAAACGTCTAAGTAAGTCCATCACATAACATCGCTGAGACAGATACATAACAATATTATCCCGAACAACTTCCATGCCAAGAAAGAAATCAAGAGAGCCCAAGTCCTGGCAAGCAAATGCAGAACATAACGAAGAGACACAATCTGTGACAGTAGAGGGGTTCAAACCAGTGACAATAAGATCTTCACATGGACAAGAAGAATCACAACAGATCTAAATGTTCAGCGGATGAAGAGAGGAGTCAGAGCGGCTATTGGTAAATCTAGTATCAATAAAAAATGAGTATAGACAATGGTACCATGCACGAGGAGTCTGCTTAAGACCATAGATAGCTTTAATAAGTCGACAAACATGAGAGGGTCGCTATGAATCAATGAAACCGGGAGGTTGCTCCATGAATACTTCTTCAATGAGATAACTCTGGAGAAACGCGTTCTTGACATCAAGTTGACGAATCGGCCAACCATGCATTGTGGTAAGAGCAAGAAAAGTGCGAATAGTGATAGGCTTAACAATGGGACTAAAAATATCACCAAAATCCACATCAGGCTGCTGATGAAAACCCTTCGCAACTAGACGAGCATTATATCGTTCAACAGACCCATCAACTCGACGTTTAACTTTGTACACCCATCGACAACCAACAAGATTCTTATTAGGACTAGGTGGAATAAGAACCCAAGTATTATTCTGCAAAAAGGCATTATATTCTTCACACATTGCCTGACGCCAATGAGAGACAGATTGTGCTTGTTTAAAGGATGTCGGTTCATGCAACATAGGATCCAATGTCTCTACAATAAGAGCATGCGAAAGCACATGAGGGGAGGAGGCCATAATATCATAGAGACTACGATACCGCTGACGGATTGTTGTTGGTGGTGTTGCAGAACAGGGAGGCACAAAATCTATAGGCGTCAAAGGAGATGATTGGGAATCCCCAATGGAAAAAGAATAAGTACTAGCTGATAGGGATTGAGGAAGACCAGTGGAGTCAGATGGAATTGAATCGGAAGATTGATCTATAGTGGTAGATGATGGTGGCATGACCAGTGCAGATGAAGAGGCAAGCCCAAATCCAAGAGCATCGGAAAGCTGAAGCACTGTGGATGGAACAGACAAAGGTCAAAAATCTGAATGAGGTAGCGTTTAAGTGGCAACAGTGACATAACCAGAAAATGTTGTCTCATGAAACACTACATGTCAAGAAATATATATACGACTAGCAGGAATATAGAGGCACCGATACCCATGATGTGACAAGTCATATCCCAGAAAAATACAGAGAGCAGAGCGTGGGGCTAGTTTGTGAGCAGCAGTCAAAGTGAACAATGAATAACAGGCACATCCAAAAGTCAGCAAGAAGCGTATGTCAGGAGATCGCCGAAAAAGAACCTCAAAAGGACAGTGATGTTGGTGTAGGCAACCTGTTAATAAAAAAGACAGTAGTAGAAAAGGCCTCCACCCAAAAAGATGGTGGCAAGTTAGATTGTAATAAAAGGCAACGTCCTTTTTCCAATATGTCACGATGTTTCCGCTCAACGACACCATTTTGGGCAAGAGTGTAAGGACATGACAGTTGATGGGTAATACCATGGGACTCAAGAAGGGAATGAAACAATTTATTATCAAATTCACTACCACCATCAGAACGCACAATTTTAATAGAACATGAAAGTAGGTTCTCAACCATTAATTTAAATTTACGAAAAATCTCAATGAAATCATATTTTTTAAACGTAGGAAAAAACCAAGTATACCGACTATAATCATCAACAATAGATAAATAGTATTTAAAGGAAGACAATGACACGATTGGAGGAGGACCCCATACATCAAGATGAAGGAGCTCAAAAGGAGATTTAGTTGTGTATATCTGTTTGCTAAAGGAAAGATGACAACCTTTACCAAAAGGACATATTGGACACTAGGCAGAGAGATCTTGAATTGGATTGAACACAGAGGCAAGCATAGTCTTGAGCACAGCAAGGGAAG